ACTTTAGGTTAAGTGAATTGATCTCTGAGAAATTTTACCAGAAGGTTCAATACCACAAAAGGAAGGTTGGGATTGATTTTGGGGGTGATATGGTACCAACTGTTTAGGAATTAGGGGCCAAAAAAAAGTTTCGGGGCAATAACTTGTGTGTTAGTGTAAAGATCTCTCAGAAATTGTAACCACAAGGTTCCATATCACAAAGGGAAGGCTGGGATTGAGTTTGGGGGTAATTGCCCCAACGGTTCAGGAATAAGGGGAAAAAAAGGGGCCAAAAACAAGCATTTTTCTAGTGTCCAGACAGTAACTTGTGTTTAAGTGTATGGATCTCTCTAAAATTGTACTACAAGGTTCCATACCACAAAGGGAAGGCTGGAATTAATTTGAGGGTAAAAACTCTAAGGGGGAAGGGTGTTCAAAAAGTTCGGGGGGATTTTTTTTTCAATTTTTTTGGGGGTTCATATTTTTTTCTTCAAAATATTTGAAATTTCAAATGATTGCACAGTATTGTGCAATAGCAAGAAATCTTCAAATGCACAGTATTGGGCTATAGCAAGAAATCTTCAATTGCACAGTATTGCGTAATAGCAAGAAATCTTCAATTGCACAGTATTGCGCAATAGTAAGAAATCTTCAATTGCACCAGTAATGCACAATAGCACAGTATTGCACAATAGCATAGTATTGAGCAATAGCACAGTATTGCGCAATAGCAAGAAATCTTTAATTGTACTATATTGGGCAATAGCAAGAAATCTTCAATTGCACAGTATTGCACAATAGCAAGAAACCTTCAATTGCACAGTATTGTGCAATAGCAAGAAATCTCCAATTTCACAGTATTGCGCAATAGCATACTATTGCGCAACAACAAAGTATTGGGCAATAGCAAGAAATCTTCAATTGCACAATAGCACAGTATTGCGCAATAGCAAGAAATCTTCAATTGCACAGTATTGCGCAATAGCAAGAAATCTTCAGTTGGCCAATATTGTGCAATAGCACAGTTTTACACAATAGCAAGAAATCTTAAAATTGCACAGTATTGTGCAATCGCAAGAAATCTTCAATTGAAAATAAATAACAAATCTTTTAACCAATTTCAATCATTGTCAATGGGATTAATTTAAAGTCTTTAATTTTTGGGGGTTCTAACCTTGTATTACTTTTTTGGATATTTGGGTCCCATTTTTAAATTGGTCTACATTAAGGTCAAAAGGGTCCAAAACTTTGTTTAATTTCATCAAAAACTGAAATATTGCGACTGTATGGTATGCTGAATCTTATTGTGCATTTAGATTTTTTATTTTGGGCCCTGTTGTCAAATAAGTCCATATTAAGGTTTGAAGGGTCTAAAATTAAATTTTTGGTGTTTTTTTATATGCTGAATCTAACCATGTTGCTAGATTTTGGATATCAGACCATTCTAGGTAAATTAAATGTCCTATTTAAAATTTTTAAGATCTTTGACCACATTTATTTTGTGTCCTAAACCTATATGTCAAATATTTGATTACAATCCAAATTCAGACAGTATCAAGCTTGAGTATTGTGTCCAAACTTGCCCCAACTGTCCAGGGTTAGACCTCTGCGGTCGTATCTGGCTGCGCTCAGCGAAGCATTTTATTAAAATGTTCTTATGCATTAAGGTGGTATGGGATTTTAACGAAAAATGATAGATTTTTTTTCATACTTTGCCAAAATGTAGTAGATATTGTTATATGTTCAAAAATAAGATAAAAATGATAGTCACCGAGCTTTTTTCAAGATACTGGTTGTGAAAAAATTATGAATTTTGTTGGATTACCATTTCTTGTTATATTATAATATATCACTTTTCATAAACAGTCATCTCTTGTTATAGAAATATTATTTTTATTAAAAATCAACATTTTACGAATATTTTTATAACATTCTTTAATTAAAACACATTTTTATTAATGCATATAAATTAATGATTAAATTGTTTTTTTTATTAGGGCCCCACCGAATGGTGGACGCCCTATAGTGATCAGTCTGTCCGTCTGTCCGTCCGTCCCTAACAAATTGTGTCCACTCTATATCTAGAGAACCGCTATGATTTCAAAGTTTATACTTGAAATGTATATTAACCAACACCAGAGGGTGTGTCATAATGTATGTACAAATTCCTTGGTCAAAGGTCAAGGTCAAAAACTTTGGTTTCAGTTGAGAACCCCATGTCCTATGGTAAAGATCGTGTCCGCTCTATATCTTGAGAACCGTTATGATTTCAAAGTTTATACTTGACATGTATATTAACCAACACCAGAGGGTGTGTCATAATCTATGTACAACTTCCTAGGTCAAAGGTCAAGGTCAAAAACTTTGAAATCAGTCGACAACCCCATGTCCTATGGTAAAGATCCTGTTCGCTCTATATCTTGAGAACCGTTATGATTTCAAAGTTTATACTTGACATGTATATAAACCAACACCATAGGGTGTGTCATAATTTATGTACAACTTCCTAGATCAAAGTTCAAGGTCAAAAACTTTGGTTTAAGTTGACAACCCCATGTCCTATGGTAAAGATCGTGTCTGCTCTATATCTTGAGAACCGCTATGATTTAAAAGTTTATACCTGACATATATATAAACCAACACCAAAGGGTGTGTCATAATCTATGTACAACTTCCTAGGTCAAAGGTCAAGGTCAAAAATTTTGGTTTCAGTTGACAACCCCATGTCCTATGGTATAAATCGTGTCTGCTCTATATCTTTAGAACCGTTATGATTTCAAAGTTTATACTTGACATGTATATAAACCAACACCAGAGGGTGTGTCATAATTTATGTACAACTTCTTAGATCAAAGTTCAAGGTCAAAAACTTTGGTTTCAGTTGACAACCCCATGTCCTATGGTAAAGATCGTGTCCGCTCTATATCTTGAGAACCGTTATGATTTCAAAGTTTATACTTGACATGTATATAAACCAACACCAAAGGGTGTGTCATAATCTATGTACAACTTCCTAGGTCAAAGGTCAAGATCGAAAATTTTGGTTTCAGTTGACAACCCCACGTCCTATGGTAAAGGTCGTGTTCGCTCTATATCTTTAGAACCGTTATGATTTCAAATCTTATACTTGACATGTATATAAACCAACACCAAAGGGTGTGTCATAATTTATATACAACTTCCTAGGTCAAAGGTCAAGGTCAAAAACTGGTTTAAGTTGACAACCCCATGTCCTATGGTAAAGATACAAATTTTTTAACACACATTATTCACAGCGGGGCCCACAGAGATGGCTCCCATCTCAACGATATCTAGTTACTTCTGATTCTAAAAACAATTATATTTTCCTCTCTTTATAACAATAAAAAACCATGGCTGAAAAGACTTTACAAACCATGGCCGAAAAAAGACTGGCCAAAACGGCTGAGGCAGATACAACAGTGTGGCCGAAATGGCCTGCATCTACTGGAATTAAAGTAAAATTGAACCTCTGGCCTGTGGCTTCAAAAGTTTATTGTGAAGACTGACATAACAATTCCTTAAACATCGCATTGCGGCATAATACCATCCAATGGTATTTAATTTAAAATTAATTAATAAATAATTAAATCTGTTTAATATAAGCAGTCACCAATCAGATTACTTATTATTGTTTCAAATTCAAAGTTTTATTTAACATGTTTAAAGTCGATATTCAATAAACTAAATTAGACCTCTTATGTCAGTATACCATTACTCTATACTCGTCTTACATAAACACAAGCTCTAGTGAGCTTTTCAAATCGACTGACACACAAACATGCCAAACGTTGTTTGTAAAACTATAAACATAAACATGTGTTCATCTAACTTTAATAAATACATTTATGTAATAATAAGCCAAAATAAACCGAACATATAACATTTATCAAGTTAACAGCTCACCAGTATATGTGTAGCAAGTTTTCACAAAAACAGTGGTTTTTGTCCAGCCTGCGACTTTTGTCGCAGAAAGCTCGACATAGGGATAGTGATCCGGCGGCGGCGTTAACTAACTTCTTAAAAGCTTTATATTTTAGAAGGTAGAAGACCTGGATGCTTCATACTTTGTATATACTAGTAGATGCCTTATGTTACGAAGTTTCCGTCTGTCACATGTCCATTGTCCTTGACCTCATTTTCATGGTTCAGTGACTACTTGGAAAAAAAGTTAAGATTTTTTGAAATGTTAATTTTTCTCTTATTATGAGTAATAGGATAACTATATATGATATGTACGTACCTTGCAAGGTCCTCATGCCCGTCAGACAGTTTTCACTTGACCTCGACCTCATTTCATGGATCAGTAAACAAGGTTAAGTTTTGGTGGTCAAGTCCATATCTCAGATACTATAAGCAATAGGTCTAGTATATTTGGTGTATGGAAGGATTGTAAGGTGTACATGCTTTTGTGTTTTGGCCCGTTTTTCTTATACTGTTTGCAATAGATCCACTATATTTGTTGTATGGAATGAGTGTTAGGTGTACATGTCCAACTGGCAGGTGTCATCTGACCTTGACCTCATTTTCATGGTTCAGTGGTCAAAGTTAAGTTTTTGAGTTTTGGTCTTTTTTTCTAATACTATAGGCAATAAGTCAACTATATTTCGTGTATGGAAATATTTTATGATGTACATCTTGGTCTCGCAGGTTTTATTTGACCCTGACCTCATTTTCACAGTTCATTGCTCAGTATTAAGTTTTTGTGTTTTGGTCTGTTTTTCTTAAACTATAAGCAATAGGTCAACTATATTTGTTGTATGGAAGGATTGTAAGCTGTACATGTCTGCCTGGCATGGTTCATCTGACCTTGACCTCATTTTCATGGTTCAGTGGTCAATGTTTAGTTTTCTTTGTTAATGTTTAGTTTTCCTCGTTAATGTTTAGTTTTCTTGGTTAAGTCTGTTTCTTAGAAACTATAAGCAATAGGTCAACTATATTTAATGTATTGAATAATTGTAAGGTGTACATGTATTTCTTTTTTGGTTTGTTTGACCTTGACCTCATTTTCTTGGATCATGTTAAGTTTATGTGATAGTTGTAGTAAAGCTTTATATTTAGGACTATCAACATAATATCAATGGTTAGTAAAGATGGCGAGACATTTTAGCGTGTGCACTCTTGTTTTTATAAACCTAAGTATTTTCTTTTATGTTACTGTTTTTAGCAAGGTCTGTTTCCATCGACTGTGTTTCTTGAATAACCGATCCTTTGCATGTTCACCTGCTGCAGCAGTAGCACCGTCTGATCTGAGGCTGCAAATACCAAAATATTTATCTAAACCTGCTGATTTACAAAAAACATAAATGAGGAAAGATAAAATCTGTACTATTTGATTCGATATCTGCTTTTGACAAATATCTGAGTTACATGTATGCTAACAGGACATGTGACATTATCTTTACTAGAAATAACAACTTCTCTACCTTCACGATAAACATTGGTTTTTGATAGCTTCTATAAGGGAGCTACCATTTGATTTTTATGGGGGGGGGGGGGGGGCTAGGATTGAATTTGAAAAAAAATAGGCAGGACAGCAGTTTTGAGTAAAAAAAAAAAGCAGGATGCGACACTTTGCAAAAAAAAGGCAGGATGACAATTTATGTAAAAAAAAGTCAGAATAAACTAAAAAAAAAAAAGGCAGGACCGAATAGAGTGAAAAATAAAAAGGCAGGACAGAGATTACTACTAAAAAAAAAGGCAGGACAATATTTTTCATCCTAGCATCCCCCCCATAAAAATCAATGGCAGCTCCCTAAACCGTCACAAAATGAATTATGATGGCGCTTAATGCCACATTGCTAGATAACTCTGAATATCTTCAAAATGATCTTAGAAAACCTGAGTAACTCTATATGCACATGAGTCATGATGCTTGGAATTCTAAACTCTTTCAAATGTGAAGTACACTATTTGTTTTAGAATTTCTTGTGTAACGTACTGGATCCATCTCAACATTGTTATGTCCAATCAATCTCATAGATCCCTCTTTAACAGTGACGACTAAATTAGACTCACATGAATTTCGTAACACCTGCTAACTTATGAACCCAGTTAATACTATAAATTGATTCGTTAATGCTACTTGAAACCCTTGTCATCCCAGTAACTTATTGGAAAGTCATGGACCAAATCCTGGCTTTGTGATTCTACTCTTGTTTGTAACAATTTTACATTTATCATCACTCTATGACCTTTTATTTATTGAAATCGTATGGTATAGGCAAGCAATTAATCTTCAGCCAATGCTTATCACCATGGCAAAAAAAAAGAATTATTTTAGCAGTCTAACGGTTCAAGGCACTACTTTCATTTTCGTTTAATTAGATCTAAACAACAGATATTTTTTAATTTTACTTGTCGTTGTTTTCTTGTTATTGTTTGTTAAGCTTTTGTTTGTTTTCCTTTTAATTTATTGCTGGTAGTATAGTAAAGATTGTTATTTATAGTTATGTCTTTCTAGGTTAATGTGATGGCTGTATGTCTGTGTACAAGAGAGTCTGTGAAAATGACGAGGGCCAACAGAGTTGATGATGGTCATATCCTTAATATCAACAGGTTAAACCTTTATGGCAGGTGTAGTTTTAAATCAAATAGATTAATATAGGTATAATTTCATAAATGAACAGATAATTTAACGGATCTTTATCATATCATTTAAACAGTAATAATACGGGATAACTAGATAACTAGATGATATGATGAACATTTATTCTCTGGGCATTTAATTATTGAAAACCACAAGATTTTTATTGAGTTTTTAATGTTCAGTGGCAAATATTCATGTGTTTATCTCACATCGGTACATAACAGCAGGAGAATACAAGTTATACAAGCTGAAGATGCTTAAAGAGAAAAATAAGCCAATGAAAATATGGAACCTAAATTGTTTAAGTGAAACTTTCAGGATGCATTGGTGCTTTAAGTAGATGCTGTTGAATGTCATTCACAAAATTGTGTGAACTTTATCATTCATATATTTAAAGTTTATCCGGGCATCGTTGTGGCAAAGCACTATATTAAGCTACTAAACATGCATTGACTGCATTAACTGAAGGCATTAGAAGGGAACTAAGAGAAATAAACAGCCATATCAAAATAACAGTAAACAAAGCAATATTTACACAACTTTGGTCTTATAAATATGGTTTTACTATATTTTTATATAGCTGTCTCATTAACATACACCCCACATATCCTCAGGAATTCATTATAATTTAATTATTATAGTGATTTATTCACACTTAATCATTATTTAAAAATAAACACAATATACTCATACATGAGTTCATATCGAGTATCTTAGATGAGAAATTCACAGTACTAAAAACAGTCCTATTCCGAATTTTAGACCCCTCTACCAAGAAATTTGTTTTGCATGCACACGTATAAAAATTGCAGTTTTTATCCAACGCAATCATAGGTTTGAACATTGTTTTCAATTTAGACTTGTTTATATTTTTCAGTAACATATACACTCCCCCATGCTGTTATTGTCTGCTCCTTTGTTTGTCATATCAACACGTTTTGTTGGCAACCAAGAGGTCCCTTATAACATATTTTATTCGTTGTTACAGAGTATCAGTCCAGGCTAAGTGAAGACTAATTTTGCCTATACTACAGTTGGAGAAGCTGCAGCTGACGAATGTAACAATACAAGACAAAGTCTGGATCCTCAGGACATAGCCAATGCCATTGAAACAGTTTTATATTTCCCATCACATGTTCAGGTGAATGAATTTAGTAGTTAAAAAAATGAGAAACAACAAACTATTAGAAACGTTGCACAGCATGAAAATATGGATGTTTGTATATTTCCTGTCAGTCCTGTTCTTGTCATCACAGCTCCTCTGAAACCACACAACAGAATTGCATGAAACTTTGTAGATAGTCAGGACATACTATGAAGATGTGCATATTGACAGGAAATGATGATTCAATAATTTTTCTAGGAGTTATGCCCCTTTGAACTTAGAATTTGGCCTATACTGCAGTAACAGTTTGTTAAAGAAAGAGTGCGGGTCAATTTATCCTGAAGTATTTTACGTCTAGCGTATTGAATTATAAGACTAGTATCTTTGATGGGTTTTCACTCCTGGGCCATTTTTTTATATTTATTCAATCTTTACTTACATCCACAGCATCACACCTTTAAATAACATTTGGCATGATTCCAAGCGTGTGACCAATTGATAAATGCATAGAGATGGCACGGAGCTCAAATTTTGATAATTTTTTGTAAGTTTAGGGTTTTTGAAAAAATAATTAGAGTTTAAGCAGGGCTCACACTACTTCAGAATCATAGGGAGAAGTGACTTCTCTTTTTGAAACTGATAGGGAGAAGTGGTGGGACTTGAAAGAGAAGTGCTCGTTTGCTCATGGCCCTTACAATGTTGTAGGTTTTTATATGATATAAATGGCCTTATGTATCCTATTTATTTCATTTTATTATTTAGCTCACCAAGCCCTATGGGCCAAGTGAGCTTTTTCATCATGTGGCGTCCGTTGTCGTTGACCGTTGTTGTCCGATAAATTTTACAAAAATCTTCTCCTCTGAAACTACTGGGGCAAATTTAACAACAACTTGGCCACAATCATTATTGAGGTTTCTAGTTAAAAAAATGTGTACAACGACTTCGCCTACCATCCTGATGGCCGCCATGGCTAAAAATAGAATGTAGGGCATAAAATGCAGTTTTTGGTTTATATCTCTGAAGCTAAAGCATTTAGCGTAAATCTGACATGGGGTAAAAATGTTCATCAGGTTTAGATCTATCTGACCTGACGAATCAGACAACCCGTTGTTTGGTTGCTGCCCCTGAATTAGTAGTTTTAAGGAAATTTTGCAGTTTTTGGTTATTATCTTTAATATTATTATAGATAGAGATAAACTGTAAACAGATATAATGTTCAGCAAAGAAAGATCTACAAATAAGTCAAACATGACCAAAATTGTCAATTGACCCCTTAAGGAGGTATTGCCCTTTATATTCAATTTTTAACAATTTTTTTTTGGCTTATATTTCTGAAACTAAAGCATTTAGAGCAAATCTGACAATGGGTAAAAATGTTCATCCGGTTAAGATTTATCTGTTTTGAAATAATTAGACAAATCAGACAATCCTTTTTTGGTTTGCTGCCTTTGAATTGGTAATTTTAAGAAAATTTTGCAGTTTTTGGTTATTATCTTAAATATAATTATAGATAGAGATAAACTGTAAACTGCAATAATGTTCAGCAAAGTACGATCTACAAATAAGTCTATATGACCAACATTGTCAATTGACCCCTTAAGGAGTTATTGCCCTTTATAGTCAATTTTTAACAATTTTTCTTAAAATTTTGCAATCTCTTACAAAAATCTTCTCCACATAATCTACTACGCCAAATAGAATTAAACTTAGCCACAATTTTCAATAGGGTATCTTAATTGAAAAATGTATCCAATGACCCTGCCATCCAACCAACATGGCCGCCATGGCTAAAAATAGAACATATGGGTTTACTATAGAAGTCTAAGGGGAAATTGTAAAAAAAGCAATTTCAAATGATCACACCTTGAAAACTAATTCAAATAATGATAAGGGGTCTTCAGTAACTATTGTAAGACTACAATGGGATGACCTGATTGGTCAATGGGATGATTTCCAAAACCACAGTGGATACAGGTGAGCGACACAGGCTCTTGAGAGCCTCTAGTTATATTGTTCAATTCGGGGTCGCCCCTATATTCCGACACCACACTAGTCATTCACCCCATTGGTCCAACATCCCATTAGTCAAACGCCCCATTGGTCCGACACTCCATTAGTCTGACACCCCAATAGTCCGACAAAGGTAAATTACTGTGGTAATAGAACATCTTCATAGAATCATTACTGACGTGGTATATGAACTACTCTTTCTTATAAGAAATGGAAAAAGATAATACCATACTACCCATTTGGTATTTAAGAAATACCATGACCATAGTATATTTTACAAGCATGATGATTTTTAGTCATCTACACTGTACATGAACGTATAGATCAAAAACTTAAGTTGTCGAATTGTTAATGAAACATCAATGAAAGTGATTAAATTTGTTGTCAGATGAATTTGTAATGAATAGCAATGGAACATTTGCCACAGGACGTTAAACAAAAAAAAATAACGATCATATATGAATAATGGTGGGAATGTACATCAACGATTTGATTTGTAATTGCATATTCATAACACAACAAACCTTTTTTTAGCTCACCTGGCCATCACTTGGCGTCCGTCGTCTGTTAACTTTTACAAAAATCTTCTCCTCTGAAACTACTTGGCCAAATAAAACCAAACTTGACCTAAATCATCCTTAGGGTATTTAATTTTAAAAATGTATCCCACGACCCCGCCCATCAACCAAGATGGCCGCCATGGCTAAAAATAGAACATGGGGGTAAAATGCAGTTTTTGGCTTATATCTCTGAAACTAAAGCACTGAGAGCTTTTAGAGCAAATCTGACATGGGGTAAAAAATGTATCAGATGACCCGGCCCAAGTTAACTACTATAGGTCAAAGTACGGTATTTAACCATGAGCTAAACCCATTATGCATAGTAAGCTTTAAAAAGCCCCGAAATGACAAATGTAAAACAATTCAAACGAGAAAACTAAAGGCCTGATTTATGTACAAAACAATAAACGAAAAACAAATAAGACATACAGCAACAAACGACAATCACTGTTGATAGTAAAGTTTTTGCTGAAGAAATATTGGCTAATTGAAGAGACGACTATGAGTTGTTTTTGGCAGTGCTATCTCATCCATTCGATATCTAGATAAAACATATTTAATTTGTCCGTGGTGCTGGCTATGATTCAAGCAGGAAATGTAGCTTACATTTTACTCTGCAGTGGATATGTTATTTTGTTTTTCACAAATGAATAAAAGCATATGTATGATATACGTCACAAAAAAAAATCCAAGGGACACCTACACGTAAACATACTACAAATGTATATCAACAATAAACCTGTGTCTGTATATTGTACATTACACTACGTCTTGCTATGAATCGTTGTGATTGATGTTGCAGAGTCTACCAAAGATCTGCTTTCTATAACAATTCTAATGTACAATAGTCTTCTATACTACAGTAATATAAAAAAAAACAGTATAAAAGTAATTGTGCAATTTTGTCTTTCTTTAATTGAAGAGCTTGTCATTTATTGTTTTATCACTCAGACAATCAACGGATACCATGATCGAGTTCTAGATAGTTTTCCATTGACATCTTTTGAGTTGGAGTTATTTCCCTTTGGTGGGCATGCTGTAGGGCATACAGATTTTTTCGTATTTGACAAACCAAATTTAACCTTGTGGTACCAGCAAGTCTAATAAAAGATTCTTACTATATAATAGTGAAATTTAACATGTGTTTAAACAAATAAAAATAGTTATGAAAACAAATGTTTCTAAAGTCTAACGTTATCGATCTTACAATTTGAATTTGGTTGTCTTACTAAGGATTTTGTGTACATTGCCCTACAACATGGCGGCAAAGGAAAACAACTCTAGCTCAAATTATGTCAATTGAAAACTGTCTATCATTATTAAATATCATTATTTGATAAATGTGTTATTTAGTATAAGGTTTGTTTTCCATATATGTAATTGATTTGAATGAAATGATTTAATGAAAAATTACGTAAGGTAGTAACTGTCTTGTTCATCCACAGGTTAGACAAGGGTACCATCAATGTATGAGAAAAAGGAGAGGCAGTCGTACGTTATCGTCTACAGATTCTATCAATATTGTAAGTAATTACATTTATTTTAGTCATTTATGATTTTACAAATAAAAAAAGTTTTAAAAACTAAACTGTTTAGCTGTATGAAATTGAATGTTTTGTTTACACAGTTTTGCATTTAAAGCGAGTATCTTTGATATTTTTATCAAGTATTGAAAGAACAGAAAAAAAATGAAAACAACACCTTATAAATTTCATTCGTCCGAGCCGCTTTTCTGTATTTACCTTCACCAGGAACGCTCAAAGCCGACTAATTGAAAGCAAAGGATGTATAAGATCCGAAACAGTTGATGAGCTATGTGACCAAAAAGCACCTAGTGACTTCACTTTAATATTGAGATTTACCGCGGAAACCTTGCTTAACCCATATTTTACTTTTCAATTGCCGTATACTTCTTCCTTCAAGGTCCCCCTTTGCGATAGTTTTACATTACATTTGAGATTTATTCAACTTCGAATCCTACTGAATTATCTTATTTTGAATATTTATTGTATGTTTATCACCTACTCTTACCTTTATCAATCCAGAGTTCTCAACGAAGAATACATCGGCTGCAAAGTGATCCCAACAAACATATACCTCACCTGCCAAATGAAGAATTTAAGAACCCATCAGACAACTGAGAGGAACAATTTCCAAATTATGCAAAGGACAAAACTCAAAATGAAGAAAATTCTATATACAACTTCTACAGCCTGACAAGAACTGTATATTATGACTCCAAATGTGACAATAGAGGGTATTCGCCATTCGCTAATCCGAAATAAAAGTGTGGTTCTATGGAAGTCATCTATGCACGAGCTGACTAACAATATATCATCTTCACTTTACTCACACTAGTTTTTATTTATCTTTCATTATTATTTTGGTCAAAATTTGAAACTTAATAACATGGTGCATGTGAATTGTCAACATTAATGAGACTTCTATTTTAATTTTGCCTCTTTGTCTAAATGGTTTTCACATATTATTATATATCTCTGCTATCATACCATACTCATTCATAGTGTTATATACCTAGCTGTTATTTGAATTTATGTTTTAATAACCTCCAAGTCATTTACATAAAAATAAACCTATTTTTGTGTGTTTGACGTAGAGTAAAATTAACTCAAGAATATTCGAGAGCACCTTTCGAAGTACGAATTGTACACTTTCTTGGTAAGGAAGACCTCTTTATATAATTGAAGAGAGATGTAGGGTATTAGTCAAGGAGTCAGCTACCCAGTGACACAAATAATCAATATATATACAAGTCAACATGTTTTCAACAATAAACAGGTGTATACAATATATCAGGTTCGTTCTGACTTGCCTAGAATTTAAACAAATTAAGGTATGACATAAGACAACAACTGACGAGGTTTTAATTAGGGACAGGCGCAGGAACATGTGGTGGGGTTAACAGAGCATATAGTTAAAATCAGCGCTAAAATCTAAATAAATATAAGTATTATATAAATGAACGTAACCTTACAGTTAGTGTTATAAAAAATACAGATACAACATACCTTCAATACCTTGTTATCAACATCTTATTTGTATATTTGATGTTGATCGTAAAAAAATACCATAAGAATGTATTTATCATCCTACTTTTTATTGAAATGTCGTGAACAGAGCTAAAACTTTGCAAAATGATATATATAACACCTGGGGAAAATTCTTGCATCTTTCAACAAATAGGTCTACATGCCTGAAATACTAAATTATTCAGTGAAAATTACTTTTCTCGATATGCTGATGATTTTAACGTTTTACTGGCATTAATACTGCCTTCTACTTGACAATAAGGTAAAGTTTTGAAGAAATCAATCCAGGCATACTTGAGTTAGTGCTTTCATTCAAATTGTTAAAGTCCCGTAACTCTGCAACGACAAACCAGAATATTATAAAAATCGGAAAAAAGAGCTTCCTTTTATCAATTCTAACACTGACCTAGCCTTTACATTTTGTTTAGCGGCAAAAGGGGAAATAATTATATTATAGAATTTTTTGTTACCAGTGATAGACAAAATCCGGTTAAAATAAAGTTACAAGAATTAATTTTAAAATGGAAAAAGTAATATTTAAAGTCAATGAAAATGTATTAATACATATCATCGAGTTAAGCTTTGCTTATACTTATATATAAAAATAGTGTGTATGGTGGTCCAAATTATTTTGTAAGCTATCTTTCATCAGATAACAGAAATCTAGTAAATTCCAGCCAATAACGGAATTGTTTTATGCCCTAAAATTAAAAAAAAATAGTGATAATGCTCATAGATGTTTAGTTTTGAGAAAGTCAATCCTGGCGTGTTAGAGTTAATGCTTGATATGTGCAAAATTGCCTTTATTCAGATGGTTTAAGTCTGGTAACTCTTGAACGTCATGGCCATTTTTTTTCAATCGAAAAGGAGTTAATCCTTATGTGTTACAATAACATGATAATTGGTTATTTTAAAGATTCCTGTGGTCCCTTTAGCTGCGTTTGCACCTCAAGAATTACTGTGAATACAGACAAACAAACCTGTGCATTCCAGTTTTAAGGCATAGCATGACCTAGATTAATCAAATTCAAATGTATTTTATGTTTCAGAAAATTAAAATCTTAACTGGATTTTGCTCTGCAAGTTTTTTCGTTCCTACAGAAATTGCCAAAATAAACAAAATATCGGTAGGCGAAAAAAGTGTACAGCAAAATTCAAGTTTTTAATTTTACTGAAACATAAAATGCATTTGAATTTTATTTATCAAGGTCACGATTGTTGTGGTTCATGCTGTAGTTATCCGGATCACATATGAGTCTTAACATTCAATATTATTGTTTCTATATTCTTAAGAAAAAATTCTACTAGATATTAAAATAATTCTCCCTAACAAAGGTTATCTGACTGCTTCGAGTACATCGCATGTGAGCTAGAAATGAGATAGTGTTTCGTCTTCTATCTGTCACAGCTGACATATTGCATTGATTCCACTCCATTTGAGTTATACTTGGCTCTGTGTAATGTAAAATATATTTAAATAAAATATTTTTACTCTCAGCGGTAATTTGTGTTTAGGCTAAGAGTCAGGACTGGTTAAACATACTAATGGATGACAATGTCCAAATTTGTATATTGGAGATAGATATTGTAGAATAGAGAATTGTTCTTTCTCATCTAAGATCTTTCTATGCCAGTATATTTTATTTTATTGATCATACATTTCTTCCAAGTTGCTTCAGTTGGTACAGTATCCAAAAAAGTAACAGGATCAGCTTATTTATATTTAAAACAAATTTTCTGTGAACAAGTTGTTACTTCGCTTGACTTGCTATTGATGAATAGCTATTTTCCGTTCAACGAAAGTCTTATCAGAACATAAGATATTTCCAAGTAATGTTATAATTTTGATATCAGTTTCAGCATTTATACGTACCAATCCAGATAATATGTATATAGCTGGGTCGGCAGTTGTAGTTGGTTATGGTAGAATTTGTATAATAGTCTTCTTGTAAAAAGATTGCAATATTTTAGTTACTTACTACAGATCATTACTATATCGAGCCAATAAATTAAGATATGCATAATGATAATTCTAAATGAAGGTATAGCAGTAGAGGGATCTAGTCCATTTTCCCCATGAAGGCCACTTGTCATTAAATTATACATAGCTCTTGTAGCGTTCTTAACATTTTCTTCTGTTGTTATAAGGTGTGTGTTGTGGGTTGATCTGAGTATGCTTTTTCAACTGTTGGCATTTCCCTTCCATCCATAAGAAGTGTCACATCATTTTGGGTATTGGTGTTGATTTGAATAGGCAGAACAACACTTTTTATACGCCCGTCAAATTTTTGACGGGACGTATTATGGTATACAAATGTCCGGCGTCCGTCCGTCTGTCTGTCCGGCGTAAACATGTCGCACCGTAACTTGAGAATGACCTATCCAAATTTCATGAAACTTAAAATAGTTATTTCTTATGATGGTCAAACGATCTGTATACTTTTTGGTGAAAATAAGATTAAAACTTTTTGAGTTACGGGACATAGTAACTAAAACAGGTGCCGTGTGTTTTTTTTCACATGTCGCGCCGTATCTCAAAAACAATTTATGATTATTGCTTAAAACTTTACACACTTCTTAGTTATATTAGTCTTAAGATCTGTATACTTTTTGGTGATGATTCAAAATTTTATTTTAGAGATATTGAGTATTTTGTTAAAAAAGGGGGAGGGGTTTTTCACGTGTCGCGCCGTATCTCAAAAACAGTTTATGATTATTGCTTAAAACTTTACACACTTCTTAGTTATATTAACCTTAAGATCTGTATACTTTTTGGTGATGATTCAAAATTTTATTTTTGAGATATTGATTTTTTTTTTTTTTAAAAGGGGGGTTTTCACATGTCGCGCCGTATCTCAAAAACGATTTATGATTATTGCTTAAAATTTTACACACTTCTTAGTTATATTAATCTAAAGATCTGTATACTTTTTGGTTTTGATTCAAAATTTTATTTTAGAGATATTGAGTTTTTTGTAAAAAAAAAGGGGGATTTTCGCATGTCACGCCGTATGTCAGAAACTATTTATGCTTATTGCATAAAAATTCACACACAAGACGACGGGCGTATCATGCGCTCATGGCGCAGCTGTTTATTGTAGGTTGTAATACATGTATGCTTCGCTTTCTCTGTAGTCATTTGCTATGCTGACATATATTGGTGCTTCAAACTGGGAGCTACTAGTAATGATTAAATCATTAGCACATGTGGATGCACTACAGTTTATTGTTCGAATATGGACTCCATAACTGGTATTACATCTTTCGTTAGGCAGATCATTCACATATGCTTTGTATAGGTCGGCGGTAAGCGGACCGCCTTCACTGACTCCTATGTCAATCTTGAATGAGTCCATTTGACAAAAGGTTTTGCATTATTTTTATATAGATCATCAATAGTAAATATTTTTTGCACTGCAAGTCCCATATAAAATAATTTCAGTTTAAAGCTTGAATGTTTTGCTAGACCAAAGACTTATTTAGCATCCAGCATTACAAAAATTGTTTCTCTCCTTGAAATTTTTCAATAATTACTGAGCAATATAATGGAGATGCATTTATGGTAAAGCCTCTTTGAAGTGGTTTTGTTAGTCAGACATTTTTTGTATTTACATAGTTTAAGTACTGTTTCAATTATTTTCGACAAGGGTGGAGTTATTGTGATGCCTCTATAATTCTTTGTTTCATTCTTGTTGCTTTTTTTTTTTTTTTTTTGAAGACTGGCGTTAACCTTCCAAATTTGACAATGTCCGGTATAAAACAAAATTCAAAAGGGCTATTGATTATTTTTTGTATGCACGAGGCAAGTACTTCACTACCGTGTATTAGATTTTCAGCTGCAGCTACATAGGCATCTGAGGATTGTTTCGATTTAGGCTTTTGATGACATCGTTGACTTCTTGTTCTTGACTGGAGTGTGCTTAAAGTCATGTTTGCATATATTTAAATCTCAGACTGCTCGTTGTCTACTTGTCCAGGACCTGCTTGGTCAAGTTGCCTATTATCATTTTGTTCAGCAAAAGTTGCAAAAAGCTCACCGAAACCGCTCAAGATTCCACAATCAGAGTTGTATTTTTGACCATTTACATTTAGCTCATCAATATATATTCCTAATATCCCTCTTTGACGTCGAATAAGTTTGAAGAAAATATCTGAGTTACTACTTTTAGCATTAATTATTTCACTTTTTCTCTCTTACTCCTATTTAGCTAGCGGTATCCTGCACTCCTTTCTTAAAATAATTGATGTTTCTCTTGTAACCACTGAATGTTAGGCCGGCCGCTCTGATACCATTTATAATATGCTTTTTACTTTTCAGTTGAGGCTTTTCGAATGTTTCGTGTCATAACTTGTAGTCTGGGTCTCCTGTTCCTTATTTGTTTAGTTTGTCCTGCAATTGTTGCCGCTTCAGATAGTAACTGATTAAAATATCTATATGCATGTTTATATCCTGTATTGATTGGAGGTCTCTGTTCAAATCGGAGATGCTACTTTCTAGTATTTATTTATACTAATCGGTTTCTACTTTGTCCCAGTTGGTTTTTGATGTCGAACATATA